ACTGCGCCATTTGTAGTATTTTCTGGCTTTTTTTTGTTTAAGCAAAAAATTTGTTAGTTTTCTTAGAGATTTAATATTTGAACCGGTTTGAAGTTTAATTAGATTCTGGCAAATTGATTCATAAAGTTAATGATTTTAATGCTATGAAATTTAGTATTATCGTATATTGCCTTGTTTTTAATAAAGAATAATACATTCTAGGAAGTTTAAAAAATTATGTCGACTTAGGTTTATGTATTTCCTCCAAAGAATCTATTTCATTATTTTTTATGAAATACTTTTTAAACTCCTGATATGTACATATATACAGGGATAGAAGTTTAAGTAATTGTTTTACTTAAAAAAGAAATAATAGACTATGAGAATATATTTTATTCACATGATACTTTTAATATTCAATCATAAAAATGTACGTCAATAATTTTAAAAATTATGGTCATTTGGTCTTTATTCGTTACCTTAATATGTCTTTTTCAATACCTAATTATCAGTTAGTATAATATATGGATACATTATTAACAAAACAGAATTTCGTTAGCAACACATGTAAAATATAGTGGTTTATAATACTGTTTTAGTTGCGTTTCTTAAAAAATTAAGTAACTTTTACAAAACGTAATTTATTTTTTTAGATTCAGTACTTAAATTCAATTCCGATGTAATTAATTAGTGGCGTAACAATAGGGTGGCGAAACGGGTAAAATTCCACGGGTCCCCGGCCCAATAGGTCCTGATGGTATTTATTAAAATCTGGTAGAAAATATTAATTTTATATTTAATCAACTTAAATGAGGTATTAACTCAAGAATCGCTGACGAATTGAACAAATAAATTATTATGATTTGAAACTATTCATAAAGATGATGCGAGAATAAATGAAATTCTGTTTAAAATTAAAAATTCTTATAGTTTTTTATTTTATCTGTAATTAATTTTCACGTGTAACGCAAATTGAAGAGAAATAAAAAAAATGAGAAACAAACCATCTACCTGCTTATTATTTAAAAGCCACTATTTGTGTTTCGCAATCTGAGGCGGTTGTTTGAGGGACATCTTATATTGAAAAAATCCAATATATCGAATAGTATTTTTAAATTTGCTAAGTGTATATATATGTACTACGTATATTAAAATTCTGTATGTGTTTGTCGAAAACAAATATAAAGTATATACTATAAAACAACAGATCGCCATAGAAATTTTCAGGACTTTGGTTTAAATAATAAAATTAACTAACAGGAAGAAGATAACGTGCTAAGAGTAGTAACATACCGATATTAATTGAGAAATTTTGAATCTCTTTATTCAGGGTAGAGGTAGTTTAAAATCTCGTGAGCCAAGATTTTGGCCTGCGCAATGACAAAAGGTCTGTTTATTGATTGCCAATTCTCGTGCTTCTAACTCAAAACATTGGCGAACTGGGCATCATCGTTTACAGTTAACAGTCATGTTAATGATCTTGAAGTGTACAATTAAATGTAAAAAGGTCCGCCTTTCGCGTTTGACGCAACCTAGGATATTTTGAAATGCCTCTACATGTTAATTTGCAATCGGATAAACTAGATATTCATTTCACTGATTCATAGTCCGGATAGGCCTTTTCTAATTCATCTATTTAGTCTTAAAAAATCAGAGGCGGTTTACAAAAACACGTGAACTTTTCACTGAACAGTTGCAAAAAATCGAAAAAAAGAAAACTATATCTACTTAATTAAAGGTATACTTCGTTTAGCTTCTGTACCGATGTGACCTTCAGTTTGACCGGCGCAAGGTAGAAAAGAACAGCACTAGGCCAGGAAAGGAAGGAGACAACTCTCGGCCAAACTCTTAACTGGTGAGGAGCGTAGAATCCGTACAGTACTGCACCGAAAAATTAACCATTTTATCCACTACAATTGCATTGCTCAAATGTGCTGTTATTGGTACCAATTACTACTGAAAATATAAACGAGATGTTTATTTATATTTGAAGACATATTAAATGCTTTAACGCTTGTTTTCGACTCGCATTACTATTCATGATTGAAGAAAACTTTTGGCAGGTACTGTATGAAAAAGTATGTTTAATGAACAAGAGTCGAGAGTATAATGAGCTTTTTTCTCCCTGCCTACAATTTTGCCAGCGTGCATCCAAGACATTGGACGGGGCACATCGCTACATAAAGTAAATGAAGTATACAGTATCCCCTCGAACATTCTTGAGAATATCTACCAAAGAATGTGTCGAACAGTATGATTTTTGAAATACATCCAATTAACACATTTTAAGTTCTTTAAAATTTCCCCCTATTAATAGAGTAAATGTTTTCGTAAAGTCTTTGAAAAGCAAACTCTTCTTTGCTTAAATTGAATTATGTATTTTAAAAAGTCGAGTATTTGTTTAGAACGTTTTGGATTCCGTTTCGATTCTTATCAAAATTTTTAGGATCAAATTCTTTATTAAGTACCCTGGAGAAATTAACCTGGATATACCATCCCGACGAGTTAGAAATAGTTATAAATAAAATGCATGCGGTACTGACAAAACAGTACTGTATGAAAATAAATAAAAGTAAAACGAAAATACTGGTATGCAAGGGAAGAAAAAGTAGGGAAAGATCTAATAGGAGGATAGGAGACGAAAAATTAGAAGAAGTGGCTGATTTTAGGTATCTAGGAAGTCAGATAAGTCAGGGCGGAAAGTCACTTCTATGCTCGCGAAAGGTTAATTTAGAAATTCGAAAAAGATTGTTAAAGGTGTATGTTTGGAACGTGGCGCTGTACGGGTACGGGTGAGAAACATGGGCAGTGGACGCGGCGGAAAAGAAAGGGTTAAAAGCGTTCGAAATGTGGTGTTACAGGCGAATGATGAGGATATCGTGGATAGAGAAGGTTAGAAATGAAGAGGTGTTAGAAAGAGTAAGAGAACAGAGGACTCTACGGAAGTCAATAAGAAATAGTTGAGATAGGTAGGCCTACTCAGGCATGAAGGTCTAGTCAGAGGCATATTAGAGGCAGAAACGGGTGTTAGGAGGGGTAGAGGTAGACTTAGATTAGATTACTGTTCGCAAATAGTTAAGGATGTGGGTTGTTCTAGTTTTAGGAAAATGCGAAGATTAGTTTAGGATAGAAGAGTGGAGGTACGTGTCCAACCAGTCTTAGGACTGACGACCTTATGATGATGATACTGGGTGTGCAGATTGTGTCCCCCGCGCACGGACGCTTCATGTCATGTTATTCAGAGCCGGAAATATCGAAACCTACTTTTGACAATCTTATAAGACGAAGAACTTTTTTCAAATGGAATGACCCATATTATATTATACAGTTTTCTGGAAAAAATCGATTATTTTATATTTAAAACCTTGGAAACCTTTAAAACATGGAATACTTATGAATTTAAAAAAAGTGTCTTTTTATTATGGT